CGCCACATTTGCAGCAAGGGATTACATATGGTAAAATGCACGTTTTGCAGCTACCGTATATCACGACGAACATGTAACTTGTCTAGAACACCTCAACGCGTAAATAGTTTTTACGAAGCATAGATATGTCAAGTATACAACCAGAAAATACTTTTTACTATCTACTTTTTACGATGTTACATGTTCGTTGTGATATATACGGTATAATCTCTGCAGCAATGAAGACACATCACCATCATAGTTTCCTCATGTTCTTCATGCACAATCCAGCGCTCGACACATTTCTCAATATCCTCAGTGCATCTCAAGTGTCAGAACACTCCTCGCGATCATGCAGTTCATCAAGGGCCTCGTTATTGCTGCAGTCGTCACTGCGTTTTGCTTCGCCCCAGCGACCGCTACTGACACAGTCGGCGTCAAGAATACGCCACCTAACAGCCGTAAGCTTTACTATACCAAGACTCCCCCTGCCACCAGGAGCCCGTACAACCGTGCATCAGACCCCGCCCCAAAACACCCTTAGAGGTCTGCTGTTTCATAGAGTCAATTAGCGGCTACGGCAAACGTTGATCTGTGTTGAGAATCGCAACCGCAAGTTCTGAAGGCCTCGAATGGAATGTCAAATCTCTGAATGTTTGGCGCGTCTAATGTTGCAAGAAAAAAAAAGATAAACGTTGTTTTCGATTTTGATCCTTTCTAATAACCTTTCAGATTTTGAAAGTTTCAAAAGAATGTCTATGAAGGAATTTAGTCGGCTCAAAGATACTGGCCTTGGATTCTAACAATTTTGGATAGAATAGCAGGCACATCAACGTAAAAAATATCAATGTACGACAAATGCATTATTACGATTAGAAATTAGTGACCGGTAGGACAACTTTTGAGTTGCTGAATTTTTTAACCATGTAAATTTTTATGGTCTCTGAAATTAAAAAAAATCATTTTCCTACTCCCCTGACATCAGTATCGGAAAATAAGTGCCAGCGTAACCAATTCTGAGAAATCAGTTCTCACAAAAATATTGTCACTCCTGCCAATCAGAGAGCAGATACCGACAACGCGTTGTTTTTAAACGGGTAACCATATTGGTTACGACGCATTTACGCATTTAATTGGTTTAAATATGGCTGATAGGACCAGGTCAATCAGCACTCGGCTCCAATATAGACTTGCACACCACATAAACTACTGGAATGATGCACTCGACGGATTCAACGAGCTCGAGATGTTCACAATGGAAAAATGCAAACCCAGCAAGACCAATGCTCTTGCTTTGTCTGGTTACTCGAGGCCATGCCGGAACCATTTTATGCGATGGTGCTGTACCGATGCCATTTGCTGCGTTACAGCTATTTCAAGCTCTGAGGATATCGTAAAATTTCAAACTATCCGTTCAAATGCTTGTCATCGCTAGTAGTGGGAATTTGAGCTCTTACTACTATTCACAACATTGGTGGTACTACTACAGTGTCCAAGTATATAAAATAGTAATATTCATAAATAAAAAATCTTAGAAGTAAACATTACTAGTATTGTATTGTATTGTATTGTAAACGCATTCAGACGAAAAAAAACATTAAAATTTTAATGTTTTTTTCCGTCTGAATGCATTCAAGTTTACAGCGTTTTATGAGCTGGCAGCAATCGATCGGAAGAGGTCTTTCGTTCGCTCCAGCTCATTGTAACTCCGTGTGCGCCGGTCTCCAATACTCTCGCGAAGCCAATCGGCTCGCTTGGTCACAAAATCGGCCACACTAGCACCAGAAAGAGACGACATCGAGTTCAAGTACGTGTCTCCTGCCAAACTTGGCGGTTGCGCAAAGCGTAGTAGACGAAAGGCTTCGGAGGCGGCGTATAGATGGATCTTCTCGTTGCCCCTGCCGCTGCTGGTGGATACATTTTTGGCTCGATGGTACTTCCAACCGCTTTGAATGAGAACTGCAGCGCTCTCTTTGCGTTGGCGAATATAGCGATAGAAGCGCGCGACGTCGAGTACCGTTTGTTCTTGAGGAGAGAGTTGCAGTGTATCGATCAGAATGACACGCAGCAAGCACGCGATGACCATACCGCCGATGATTCCTCCGATTGCGATGACGATCTTGCCACCTAGAGTCCACGGGAAAGTGTCGCCGTAGCCAACTCCAGTGATGGTGACAATCGTCAGCCAGAAGGCGTCACTGGCGTTCGTCTCAGTCGGGTTACTTGGCCTAGTTAACCCAAAACAACGGGAATGAGATCAATAAAGTCCTCTTCAATGAAATTATTATACTTTACGCACCGCTCGAAGAAGTTGAGTGCAACTGATGTGAGCAGCCAGTCGATTGTCAGTAGGATCAGACTCGACTCGAATGGGAATTTCTGGAAGGAAAACTTCACGTTGAGCCAGATAGACGATAAATCCATTTGGTGAATAGAGCCTGCACGAACGAAAATAATTAAAATAATATGAATAGATATGAGAATCTAAAGATTTGTTCCCTAGGTGCTTACCAATAAGTCGCGCTTCATGTGATGCAGAATTCAGACCCAATTGGTTTCTCAGTACCCGACCGAGCAAGTAAATCCGGGTGAACACCAACACGTCTGCGCTCGACAAGTAAGCCAGATAGATAAGCGTTAAATGAGTGTGGCCGGTATGATTTCACCGTTACTTACCCAGTTGATCGAGACACAGCACATCATACTCTCCCCAGCGCCATATCTTGCGATCAGCACTGAGAAGTGGCATGTGAACAGTGCACACTACCGCTTCAAGTAGAAATTGACTACCAGTCAGTGCGTCAAAGGTTAGCAACTTATCCTTCTGTTGAGAAATACACAAATCTCAAGTACACCACCAACCTCCGTAGACCTGAACACGCACTGAAAAATGTAGCGTCGGGCGGCAGTTGTTTCGCCAAAATCTTACTCTTGCACACGATTCCTGTCAGCAAAAGAGCATGTGCGATAATAATACCAATTCTTC